TTCCACAGCAAATTTCTGGAAACCTGGCCACTTCTCCAGCTGTTCCCAAGGGGTTTTTTTGGAACAACATGAAAAAGAATCTCTGGAAATCTGGCCATTTTTCCAGCTGTTTCCAAGGGTTTTTTGGAACAACATGAAAAATAATCTCTGAAATCTGGCCACTTTTCTATCAATTGAAAACCAAATTTGATCTCTTTAACAGCACGAAATTGGAAGTTGCTTGAACATTCTCCCAGGTTATGCTCAGACAACTTTTGTCACCACAGACCCTATGTAACGACCTATGTCTAGAAACCCTATATGTGTTCATAGCCAAAACATGTTTTTCATGTTTAATATCAACCTCCCCCTCGAAAAAAAATGTATTCTTCGCAGTGATTCGCTGTTTGGTTGGTTACCATAGTAATTCAGAAAAAGCTCAACATACATTTGTACTAAAGTATAAAATTTAGATGAATATCTGTAGTACAATAAACGAAAAGTCCCCCGGTGAGGCAGAGGTAAGTTTACAAACTTACAACGCTAAAATCTAGGGTTAGATTCCCCGCGACGGACACAACCGATAATCTATTGTGGCTTGTCACTTATAAACAAAACAAACACACACATATCAAGCGAAAAATGGGGAAGTCCAATAAGAATGACGATAGTGAATTTGTGAGTTTTATTGTTTAGTGAGTAATGTAATGCTAAAATATAGAAAAATAAAATAAAAAAGCCAGGTGGTTAGGGAGCTTGACACGCAATCTGCGGGTTCGAATCCCCGTCTCACTAAGCATGCTCGCCCTTTCAGCCGTGGGGGCGTTATAATGTGACGGTCAATCCCACTATTCGTTGGTAAAAGATTAAGCCCAAGAGTTGTCGGTGGGTGTTGATGACTAGCTACCTTCCCTCTAGTCTTACACTGCTAAATTAGAAACGGCTAGCGCAGATAGCCCTCGTGTAGCTTTGCGCGAAATTCAAAACAAACAAACAAAACAAAGAAGGATGACGATGATCCCACGCTAGGGGTCAAACGTTGTAACCATTCAAATCCGAATTTCCTTACTGCAAAAGTTGCTGTTATTGTATTTTTGATTTAACTTCCGAGTTACTTTAAATACACATTTGATTTTTACAGATAATATATTAAACAATTTTTAGATTTATCTTGATGCAGCCTGGGTTATAAAAATTAAACAAAAATTTTAATTGAAGCAAAAATGTTTTTTTACGAAGCACTAATGATTCCCTGGCTGTATGATAAGTAAAACAAAACAGTGTACTGTAAAAAGCATCTCGTGACACTAATTAAGCTTGTTAACGAAAAAGAGGTTCAGATCCCTGTTGACAAATCAGGGAGGGGTGACACTTGAAAGATAACAATGCATTATTAGGGTTACTACCTAGAATGGGACTGGAACTTGGAACAAACAATGTCATCCACTACGTCACTCAAATGCCTATTGGCAAAAAAGCTGAGACTGTTTTAAACTTAGTTATAGCCTTTGCCTGTCGATTAAACATCGAACAGGTTCCAGATCTCGGATCCAAAGAGATTCGGCTAAACTTAATTCAGAAAGGGTAAGAACCAAAATAACGTAAGGAAGACTTAGTCGATATTGGAGATAAAATTAATATAAACAGATACAAATTGCAAGTGAAGACGTTTAGGAAGAGTGTATCTTGTAGGAAGGCTTTGTTTTATCAATGAGTTCGTGTAACAGGGCAATTTTACCATTTGTTTTATTTTTATAGGTTCATTTTATCTCTCATAAAAAATACATGTGAAGCGATATCGTTCATGTTTTTGTTAAGCGACCGAATTTCTAAGATAAAAATCTCTTTCATTAACGCACGTGGACATTGCTGTGGTGACGTGTGTTTATTTGAACTGGCCAAATTGAGTAAAAGGGTGGGAGGTAAATATGATAAAAATCACTTTATACATGAATTTTGAAAAGGCATGAAATCGGGATTTCGTTGTGAAAAGATTTAAATTTAGTAGAAATCTCATAAAAAAAATGTTTAGAATTAGGGTAAAAAATAACTTTGTAAATGTATTTGCTGTAATGCTTTTCTTTTCTTCTGCACATGCGTTTGGTTTGTTATACATCAGGGGCCCCAGTCAGTATCATACTTGTTCAATCTTCGTGTGTTTCACGCCCCGTCTGAGGTAAAAAAAAAAGCTTACGTCGTGTTGTGTTTTTTTTTCGTAGTTAACAGAGACTCCTATCAAGGTTAGTTGAATCAACGCTCTACACCTAGAAGTAGTTAAGTGAACCTTATATATCGATGAAAATGTTGTATTTTTAGTCCAACTCCAGGTGGATGTTTTTCATAAATATAAAATAATAAAGCGACTAACGCGGTTCATGTACGATAAAAAAAAATCTTGACTCCTGGGAAGGAATAGCTTTATGACAAAGAATCAAAGTGATACTAGCCATCATCCATCATCAAAAGTCTGAAGTGGAGGGATGGAATTATTTTGGTATCGATCAATCTTTGAGTGACAGCTTACCCTGATTTTTCCCGCCGTCTGGTTCGTCACCCCCTTTCCTCTCCCCTCTGTTTTACCTGCAAGAAAAAAGTTTCATAATGTGGATCATAAAAAAAAGGCTACACAGAAAAAAAAAGGACGAAGGACGTTTCAGGTAAGGGGAAAAAAAATCACAGTTTTAAATTTAAGCTCTCGGAATATGCAAAAATTAAATAACACTTGATTGAGTAATGTATTTTAGGTCTGTTTCATTAAGCCGTTTCCATTTAGCCAGCATCTAGTAATTAGTTGTGTTGCTGAAGATTTAATATACCAAAAACCTGCCACTTCGGGTTTACAGAAGATCAAACATAAGTGGGTGAACTTTGTTTTAGAATGTTCAAAAATCTTTTAGAGGAAGGGGGTAGTGATTTTGTTATCTGTGGAATCTTTAACACAAAATGTATTTTCTATAATACAACCGAAAATGGTAACTAATTCCGTCACAAAACCAAAAAAAAATGTAAATAATTCGTCATAGAACCAATAATGGTAACTAGTTCGTCATAGAATTAAAAATGGTAACTACTTCGTCATAGAACCGAAAATTGTAACTAGTTCGTCATAGAACCGAAAATTGTAACTAGTTCAAAAACTTTATGAAATCTATGAAAGCACCTTTTTCGTCGTAAAGTCAAATTTATCATGTAAAATCATGTAAAAAAAAAGTGTTTATATGTCTCACTACGAGTCGAATCCTTTGAGAATTTCCGTTGTTTAGAGAAGGTAAAGAATATACATGTATTAAAGAATTGTGAGTTATTATTTATTTTAAGTTTAACATCGAAAGGAAACAGAGCGGAATATCATATCCAAAACGCTCGTTTCTGGTTCGTACATTTGTTTGTTTTATATGTGCAACGCTAGTTTTTCGTCTAGTTGTCTGACAGGTGGTAAAGCAAGCAAGGTATACAGGGAGAGATAGAAAAAGACGGAACAGAGACAGACAGACAGGCGGTTAGAAAGAAATATTATCAGAAAATGTCAAACCTTTAGAAATATTTTACGAAAACTTACTCGTAATGCCCACAGGGGTGTTAGCAGTAATATGAATCAGTGAACTTTAAACCAGAAAGGTGTAACGGTAACCAGACGTACCGGAAATTATAAGCGATTGGGTTTTGACATTTCATACGATTATTCAAACCACCCAATAAAAACGAAAATTTCGGGAATATTGTTCAGATTTTTAACTTCTAAATAATGTGTAAACTTCTAATACTGACGTTGCTGTAAGGCCTAACAATCAATTTCCAAGTCATGTGATTGCAATGCAAGATCTAAAAAGAAATGTAGTTACAGAGCTGGAACAATAGTTGCAACTTTAATGAAGGTGTTGTAACACCTAGGCTTAGGAATAGAGCTTTAAACACATTAGTAGGTGGCTGGAAATGGTGTTTATCCGGTGTTATAGCAACACCTTAACCCTAAAATTACGGATAGGGGTTTTTATATCTCGATGTTTTTTGTTTTTTTTTAAACACAATTTTTAAAACTGTTTTGGGTCCATGACGTTGGTGGTTACATGGTCCCTAATGAAATTTGGGTTACATAAAAAGAGTTAAACAAAAATACCAACATTATTGCAAGTATCTCCATTATTTAGTGTTTAGGTCCCTTACGTATTTTACACGTAAAATGAATGATTTCACTCGGGCCTTTTTTACACTGAGTGTTTTTACCGTGAGTGAACAATGAAAACAGTCGGTAACATAAGGGTTAACTTTTCCGCTGTCACTATCAAATTCTATTTCTTAGATAAACACTAATAAAACACATTGCTTAAATAAAACTTAGTAAACTTTGGGAAAATCGTAGGAGAATAATCCTTTCGTTATAATGGTGCCAAAATCCTTAATCACATATGGTTATATCACATTTTTAGTGCTAAAACAAAGGTTATATATTATGTTCGCCCAGTGTGTGTGTGTACCCATCGTAATTCTCTAGAAACCTTTATATATCTGCCCCTTGCAGTGATTTATGGGGTGGGGGATATATGTATGTCCATGGAAAGTAGACACATAACACATTGAGGGTGTCGTATATCCTGTGTTAATTGACGTTGTCTGCTTGGTTGTCCGTGAATCCTCCAGTACTTTTAGAAGGAGCTGGACCAAACTTGCCATGCAGACTCGGGGTGGCCTGGAGGAGGGTGCCCTTATCTATATGACGTAGTCCCCACATCAAGGAGAGGTCAGTTTAAACGCAGGAGGTTACCCAGGCATGATGGGGGTTGGGGAATATGTTTCAAGGTCGCTAACCTGAATCTGGTATCCCCCGAGATCCAGAGGGTATCACCTTAATCTGGTATCCCCCG